GGCGCAAATTTAGGAATTATTGCGACTCGGTTTCATCCGACCGAGCGTTTCACCATGGGGAGCACCCGTTCTTTTCGTTAAAAAGAAGGACGGATCTATGCGCATGTGTATCAACTACCGGGATCTTAACCGGTTGACGATCAAGAATAAATATCCGCTCCCCAGGATTAACGATTTATTTGATCAGCTGAGGGGAGCTTGTGTTTTCTCCAAGATTGATTTACGATCAGGCTACCATCATCTGAGAATCAAGGAGTCAGACATTGCTAAGACCGCTTTCCGTACTCGTTACGGTCATTATGAGTTCGTCGTCATGCCATTTGGCCTCAGTAAGGCTCCAGCGGTTTTCATGGACCTGATGAATCGTATTTTCCATCCTTACCTCGATCAATTTGTTATTGTTTTCATTGATGATATTCTTATCTACTCCAAGAGCAAGAAGGAGCACGAGGAGAATCTGAGGGTTGTCCTTGAAACCCTTAGACGAGAAAAGTTATATGCTAAATTCTCCAAATGCGAATACTGGCTCCGGCGAGTAGCCTTTCTTGGTCATGTTATCACTTAGGTAGGTATCGAGGTGGATCCTTCTAAGGTTGCCGCCGTTCAGAACTGGTCGAAACCGAAGAGTCCGTCCGAGGTTCGCAGTTTTCTCGGTTTGGCTGGTTATTACCGCAGGTTCATTGAGGGCTTCTCCAAGATTGCCCTCCCTTTATCCCAGCTGACGAGGAAAACTGTGAAGTTTGAGTGGACTGATCGATGTGAATCGAGCTTTCAGGAGTTCAAGAAGAGGCTAATCACAACACCGGTGTTAACCACTCCCGATCCTTCTCGGAGTTTCACCATTTTCAGTGATGATTCAAGACAGGGTTTGGGATGCGTACTCATGCAGGATGGCCAGGTCGTTGCTTACGCTTCATGCCAGCTAAAACCATATGAACAGAACTATTCCACGCACGACTTGGAGCTAGCCTCAGTTGTTCATGCCCTCAAGATTTGGCGACATTATTTATACGGCGGTCAATGCGAGATTTTCACTGATCATAAGAGCTTACAATATATTTTCACTCAGAAGGAGCTCAACATGAGACAGCGCCGTTGGATGGAACTCGTCAAGGATTATGATTGCACGATCCAGTACCATCCGGGAAAGGCGACTGTCGTTCCTGATGCCCTAAGCCGCAAGGTGAGGGGTGATTTGACTTATGTTGTTACTCAGCAGAGTCGTCATATCCAAGAGTTCGCCTGGATGCAGATTCAGGTGGTTGATGCACTTCCTACGACCATTGCAGGGAGTGTCAGTTCCATGCAGATTCAGCCGACGCTGAGGGAAAGGATCCGGCGGGAGCAGGCTTCTGACGAATTTGTTCGTGCTATTGATGCCAAAGTCCGCGCCGGAGGCGTCGAGGGTTTTCACCGAGGCACTGATGGGGCCTTGGAGTTTCGAGGCAGGATTGTTGTACCAAAAGTCAAGGCGTTGCGGAAGGAGATATTGACCGAAGCTCATACCGCGCCTTATTTAGCCCTTCCTGGAAGCACGAAGATGTATAATGACCAGAAATATATCGATAAGATGAATAAGTTGAGCGAGGAGTTCGATTAATTTGAGCTGATACAGATTCCTCGAGGGGAGAATAGTCGAGCAGATTTGCTGTCAAAGATTGCCCAGAGCTTGGTGGACAATAAAAGTAGGAGTGTGACTTTGTTACATTTGGAGCGAAGCGTGGTCGAGGCAGAGATAGTTGAAATCGAGGAGGTTGAAGATTGGAGAGCCCCGATTCTCAGGGAGTTGAAGGAGAAGGCAATGAAGGTAGTGAGGAGGTTTTTCAAGCATGGAGGCATTCTCTACAAGCGGTCATATGCAGGACCACATCTGCGGTGTGTAACCAAGAAAGAGGGACGATGCGTGCTAAGAGAAGTGCATGAAGGGTGTTGCAGTGGTCGAAGATTGGTTTACCACTTTCAAGTCGGTCAAGACCCCTCACATGTCTTCGAGAATCGAAATGCCAGAAAGTGCGAAAAATGCAGCTCGTGTGCCTTTGATGGTGTGGGATCCAAAGTCCGAAGTGGGAGTCTCCTCCTTGTCAAGTGTAGATAAGTTGAAAATCGCCAAGGCTTGTATTGGCCGAGCTTTGGTGAGTCTGGTTGCGGCTGAAGACGATCACAGCCGGATTGCCGCACAACTAGAGGGGAAAAGACATACCATAGCTCTACGAGATGGGACAATCGCGTCCTTGAAGGAGGAGGCTGCTAAGTTGGAGGCTGATTGAGAAGCCAAATTTGCAGACCAGGGTGCGCAAATTGAGGCGGCGCAGAGTGAGATCGTTGCCTTAACTGAGGAGAAAAAATCCACTCAAACCGAGGTCGAGGAGCTTAAGGTTCGCCTCGCCTTTGTCGAACAGCATGCCAAGTCGCTTGAAGCTAAAGCCGAGGAGGCTAATGTGGAGTTTCTAAAGGTAAGCGGCGAACGTGATAAGGCTCGTAAACAACATACCGAAGTCCATGAACTTATGGTTAGGGCACGTGATGCCCACCAAGCCGGGATGGCTAAATTGGAGCGGGAGAAGTCTGAATATGGTGAATTCATGTATGCAAATGGCTTCCAGGCAGGGCAGGACTCGGTGGCAGTGGATTTGGATCGTACTGCAGGAGATGTCGAAGTTATCACGAAGACCGAAGTGGAAGGTGACGCCGGCCCCGATCTAGAAATGGAGATGAACACATGCGTTAATTTTCGTTGGATGATCGAGCGTTTTGACAATGGTCTGTATGATACCGACGAGCTTCAACATTTCCTCTTCCGTAAACTCGAAAAAATATAACTTTGATCCGGAGATCAAGGGAATGCACATCGAGGCCGACGAAGACGAAAAGGAATTCTGCGAGTGGATGCTTCGAAGAACGTGAAGCTCTCCTCCGTAGGGCGTACGTAAATATGATCTTGAAGGGTGAGAAGGAAAAGAGAAAACAGTTGGCGGATATTTATATTGATACTCTTGCCGAGGTGGTCGTTGAGCAAAATTTTGAAGACATGATGCCGGAGCAGATCCGCAAGACTGTTGAAGCATATGCCGAGGAGAAGGCCAAGCAGATTGGCAAAGAAAAGGAGGACACCGAGGTCGTACCCGCGGGAGAGGAGGTACTCGCTGATGCGCGGGATCCTCGTCATGAACTGGTTTATGTACTGAATGCGGCGATTGATGCGGCAGCCAAAGTGAAGGAAGTCGCTGTACTTGAATAATTGCATAATCAAATGTTGGCCGGAGTGGAAGTTGGAGAAGGTAGCAGCATGGGTCGGGATGGAGAAGACAAAGATGATGCCGCTTGAATTTGTTTTTGATTTTAGTATGTTTTTAAATATTTTTTATGTTTTGCTTTTAATCGGAGGGACCAATGTAATGATGCCCTTAGTAGGATGACATGATGTATCCTGAACTTTTTCGAACAATGAACAA